TTATTCTTCTTGATAAAGTTTAAAGTTAAGTTTTCTAGTACTATTTTAGACTACAGAGTAGATAAGACTGTTCTAGCATTAACAATTTATTGTTTTGAAAAATTAGCTTCAAAGTTTACAATTATAAGGTATGTTATATTGCATCTCATGCCATGTTATATTGATTGATAATTAATATTAACTTAAAAATTTAAATAACTATTGGTGTATAATTTTTTCATAATAATCTTACATTTACTATCTATCTACATGCAGATAAGAATAAATTGCTTTTTCATGTCAATAAAAGTAATTTTAATTGTAGAGATAATGTTTACAGCATTTAAATTACATGATCAGTCATGTTAAATTAAATATTACACATTGTTCTTACATTTTTTACTTGTAACACTATAGATAAAAAAATCGTCAAAGATTTGTTACAATTTTACTATTGATTTTGATTCCATATTTTTGAAGACTTTTCTTATTTCTAGGGATGGTATTGTAGGGAAGAAAAAATAGGATGAAAGTCAATAATCAGGCCCAATAGATTAACTGACAATATTGTTGCCATAACAGTCATAGTAATTATAGATTATAAATAGATACAATTATAGTTTACTTTAGTACTTTACTTCAATGTCAACAGCTTTATGATTTTTTATTACAATTCACATCTTAGAATATGTACACAGTGAAGAGGTAAAACATAACATTTACTTTACAAAATAACATGTCTATGAGAAATATACAATTATCTTTATATTTTTTGCAATATAAATACTGATTTTTTAAATAGCAGAGCATTCTTCTTACACTTAGCAGAGTGTTATATTCTTCATTATAAGATTAAACCATAGGATAAGGTCCTTACATAGAGCAGGATGAAATTGTGAGACATGAAATGTAATTTTTTTTAGGAAAATTGACAAATCGCTCTTTGCCACTACTGATACTCGTTGCTGCCATAATACTGTGGGCGGTGGGGGCACTGGAGGGCACTTACCCATGCATGTGGGGCAGCGGCACCATCCTCTCATGGGTCTACCTCAGGTTCTGGCAGCGACACAGCAGCGGCACTAGAGGAGACATGGCTGATAACTTTAGCTTTGATAAGTAAGCATTGTTAGATTTTATATAGTTTTTTACACTCATTCAATGCCAAAGTTCAGATGCTTAAAAGACAATGAAGGCTCCTAACATTGGCTAACAATAACTGGTATCATGGAAATATTGCTTTTTTGTTGTTGTTGGCTTGTAGTTTTTGATGATTTCTCTAATTTATTCAGCCTCTAAATTAAATAGCATATTTATTTTAATCCAAAAATGGTGTGATTTCTGACAATTCTACATAGCAAAGAAGTATGTTTTTATTAAGTATAGATTTGCATGGAGTGTGTAATAATTTGTTGTGTGTAGTTTCTTCCCGACGGTGGTGCAGCCGGTGGTGCGCGCGGTGCTGGGCCCGCCGGCGCGTTGCCTGGCGCGGCTGGGCCTGTGCCCCTCGCCGCCGCGCCGCGTCACGCTCGCGCTCAGCCCGCGCGGCGTCACCATCTCCATGCCAGGCGTCGAGCCACACGACATGGAGAGACGAAGGTACACACAAGCAGATATACTGCTTCTGGAAGTTTCTATGTCCTTCTTCAAATTTAATTAAGTAAAGCTTAAACAAGATGACAGATGGTAACACAAATAAGTATTAATATTGTGAATGACTACAAAAATAAAGGAAGACCAAGGAAAGTATAGATAGATAGGGTGAAACAGGGTATGCATAAGTAAATTAATATATGATGGTTGATAGAGATGTATAGGAAGAGCGGTACATCCTTAGGGCTGAGTGATGGTGATGATTAGTAAAGCTTGAACATTTGTTTTTCAGACAAATTGCCCTTAAAGCATTAAGTGAGAGATTATCAAAGACATCAGAGCAGACGCGCCAAAAGAATTTATCAACCAAAGTGAACATGGATGCAGTGAGGAAGATGCAATCTTCGCACGTGATACCGCAGTTCCCCGCAGAGACGGAGCAGAAGCCCCCTTCGGTGCCGGAGACGACGCTGGTCGACATCAGCACAGAAACATCGACACCGACGACGAAGACTTCATGATCTACGTGACATGACTAATCTTAAGTTATTCACAGAACCAATGTGGAAATCAACAATGTAAGTCAATATTTATTAATACATTATTAAAATTCTGGTAGAATTTTTCATTGCAAACTGGCAATATTTGGTAATATGGAAATATTCATTTCTTTCTGTAATTACATATTATGTTGTTATTTAAAATTTTATGTATTACAGTTACTTACGAGAATGATCACATTTTAAATAGACTTAAGTATGCATGGACTTTAAACATTTATCAAATAGTAATCATGACAGTTTGAAAAGCGATTTTATTTATTGTGTGTTATTCATAAATAAATATAAGCCATGTAGATTAACATAGTCAAATTGGAATTCCTAAAAAAGTATGCAATTTTATATAATATAATAGAGAATTTATTATATGGTAAGTGAATCTACAGGCAATTATTGTTCATATTAATACAAATTAGTTGTAATAATAATTATATATGTTCAATGACTTGATAATAAAAATGCACTGTTGTTTCTATGTTCAGACTGAAACAAATCGTTTATTTTTGTATTGCAGATTGTCAATTAGTAGATGTTGTCGATCGGTTTTTTATTATAAACAAAATTCATTTGTGAATAGGACTGATAGTCTTAAATTGTAAATACTTTACAAATGAACATCACAAAAACATTTAAATTTTTAAGATATTGATTTTAACTTGATGTTGTTGTGATCGGCACATTTTCATGATTTAAGCATTCTTACATATTTGACCGACTTCCAAAAGAAGGAGGTACTCAATTCGTCTGTATGTTTTTTTTTTTAATATCTCAAAACGTGAGATATATGTTTGGTCCTTCGAGTCGGATGTTTCCACTGCAATAACACATATAAAATTTATTTCCCCTTGCATTATCTTTCAAAAAACCTTTAATATGTTTTTGTATTAAATTACTTAAGTTGATTTAGAATTAATGTCAAGGATTCAATGTGTATTTATGTTATTCTGCACATAATTATTTAATTTAGATAATAGTTACACCAAGGTTATGGTAGAATAATTATTTAATGATAGAATATATTTAACAATTGCATTTTAATGATAAAAATATATAAAGTATATGAAATTATTTTGTGTGGATTGTCTATATAGTTTTTATAATGCTTAAATAATAAAAATGTGCCTCGCAGTGTTTGCATTTATGAGGTATTTATAGTTTCCACAGTGGTGCTGTGAATCTAATACAATAGTATTTGTTTTGTCTTTTATTATAAAAGTCCTCTAGATTATTTACATGGTTTGAATTATATGCATTTTGTTATGTGCAGCCAAATTGTGGCGACGTGTGAATGGATTTGTGATGTTGTAAATATAAATATTGTTTAGTGTTAAAATAAATGATTCCCCAAATATTTATTAATTACTTTTATTTCTAAGAAAGTTATAAAGATAGAGATACTTTTTTTGTTTATTTCCAGTTTTAAAATACTCATACAAGTAACATATGTTTCGTTTCCATTGAAAATCTTTACTGACAACTAAGATAGATATTTCCATGGGTTTCTGACTGATAACTTACAGTTATAATTTACAAATATTAAAACACTTTAAATGTATATACTGGAATAACATATGGATACAAATAATTACATACATCTATAAATTCTAATAAATAGTTGACAAAATATAAAACATCAATACTATAAGTTAAAAATCTACAATCACTATTTTATGTTAAATAGAAGTATATCATTGAATCCATTATTATATAAGAAATGGAAGTTTATGTAGGAAGTCAATTATAATAATCACCTATTAATGATATCACTACAGAAATAAAAAAAAAAGTCTATGGTCTACATCACTACGATCATCATCAATCACAGACAAAAGATCATAGAAAAAAAACCAAACCAAATGATTTAGTTTTATAAGTAATGACAGTACAGTAGAACCTCGATAAGTTAAAATCCAAGGGAAACACAAAATAATTCAAGTTACAGAGGTTTTAGGTTATATGACTTATCAAGGGTCTATGTTATAGAGAATTTTGGCTCTGATGTGAAGGGAACATATTCTTTTTTGAAGTTATAGAGGTTTTTATGTTACCAAGGTTCTACTGTAATAATTTATCGAATAACATTGTAAGTGCTTACTTTAACATTGATAAAACTTGTAGAGTAATATTTAATTTTAGAGCTATATTTCATTACTACAGTAATACATTTAAAACAAGAGTCAATATAACAATGCACATCCTAATCTAAATAAGGGATAATAATTGCAACATAACTTTGTTACGCATATTCATTATTCATTCACATATAAAATAAAAAAGATCACTCGTGTCCTTCCCACTCATCTGAAAGAAATAATCTCAGCAATGCTATCCCATATCCAAAAGTTGGGCTGCTAATAATCAACTTGGAGCTTGGCTAGTGGTATTTTGCCCACATCTGGGCTGTTACCTGACAGCTGAGTTGCCCACTATTGGTTTCCCCAATAGTGGTTGTATTGTTGATGCTACCGGTAATAGTGGTGCTGCGGCTGGGGCCACGGCTGCACGGGCACCGTGGGCGGCTGGTAGCCGTCCGGCCAGCGCGCCTCGCCTGACACTGGGCCCACGTTGCCCACGCTGCCGATACCCACGCTAGGTGGTAGGGACGATACACCCGCCACGTTTGGAGTTAGGCTACCACCTTATAGGAGTAATACAATTAATGTTAAATCGGATGTTAAGTTAAGGATTTGACAACACAAAATTATGGCAATTTAGTACTATCGCATTTATAGTGGTTAATCATTAAAAAAATATTCTAGAATACATTTCAGTGTTGAATTTATCTAATTCTAGTCGTTGTAGTTTTTGGTACGAAATAGTTACAAATTGGGGCATAGGTAGAATAGTTCAAAAGGGACTCACCAGGCGGGGGCACGTACTGTGCGGGTGGTGCGGAGTAGGGGGGCACGTAGTAGGGCGGGGGCACGCTCATGTTGTGCGGCACCACCTGCACTGACGACACGGCTGCCGGCGGCAGCGCGCCGCCCCCCGCCTGTGGAGGCTGCGCACACACTCTTACACTAACTGCCGCACACATTGTACTATCGGGGAATGTAACGATGTTCGGACTCTAAAGCTAGTTGTTTGAAAGATTTGTACGCATTAAGATGACGCTGAACAATGATCAAAAGGATCTTTTAAATTTGTCTATACAAAAAAGGTCGGTGATCTGTATACGTCTATTTGCTTTATTATCTAGTCGTTTGAACTCGCTGCTACCTAATACCTTATATGTAAGTTTCGGAGCTTGTCCCGTTGCAAAGTACAAGACAATTTGATTGTATGTTGAACACCGCGTATTTCCGCGACTATACATTGAGATATTGTCTGGCGTAATCGAAAATATACATAGTCTTGTGTATGAAGAGGTTAACAGTAATAACAATAAAATGTTGGGCTTTATAAGTGTTTGTGGCAATATTGACCTGGTAGTAGTTGTAGTAGTGTTCAGACTGGTCCTGTATGGGCACGGTGATGAGGTTGGTGCGCGCGGGGCGGCGCTCGCCGTGCGCGTGCGCTGCGTGCGGGCCGTGCGGCGCGTGCGCGTGCGCTGCGTGCGCGCCGTGCGACAGCGTGTGCGAGCGCGGGTCTGCCGCTGACGGCGGCAGCTGACACAAAGTAATTAAAGATGGTGATTTGAAAATTCCTCAGTTTAAAATCATACTTATTATTGACTTATAATAACCTGACTTTAAAGTGCGAAATATATTTAATTATTTGGAAGCTGAACATGTTAATTATACGAAAAAATGTTATGAAAAATGTATAAATTGCATATTTTTACAGTCATAGGTTTGATGATGGGTACGGAGGGTGTGGTCGGCTCTGGGTCTGGTTTGTTCTCCCCCGAGCCAGTAGACACATGCCTATGGTTTATGTGAGCTTGCAGATCTCTCTGAAAAATAAACAATTTTAAATTTTAGTATTGCCTCGTCAGAGAAAAGAGGCAAATTTATTCAAAACTTGATGAATGGATGGATGAAATTTGGCAAAGTCTGGATGAATATAGGTTAACAATTAAAATTTTATTATTTTCGCCCTTTCGAAGTTGTTGTTGCTAGTGCTGTAATAGTGTGTATGAGTAAATGACCTGTGACAAGTAAGTCCTCCTGCAACCAGTATTTCCATATCTTGTTCCGGAATGTGTGCACATGAACACTGTTCCCAAACCAGTCTGCTCCACACGCAGCACCTGTACCAATGATAAATAAATGAGTCATTCAATTTTAAAAAAATATATCTAGATGATTAAGACAAATAATCTATACAATTGACTAAACTGAACCAATGAGCATTACCAATTTTACTAATAATATAAATATAAATGTTTAGATAGATAGCTAGATTAACAGTGGTAGTGCCCGCTTTAACATCTTAGCATGAATGGGCCGGTATGCCCGATGTAATACTACGACCACACAGAAGACTGGCGTGAAATGGAAGCAATTCCGTGTTTCGACTGACGATTGCGGTGCCGGAGGCCTAATTTAAGTCCTTTTCTCTTTACCACCTTTTTCTTAAAAGGAGAGGTTGGGACGGGGAAGTAGATTTGATGGTGGAGGAGATGCATAGGAAGGGGAAATATCCTCTTTATGTGCATCTTCTCCTCCATCGTTTAAGGGTAGGCAACGCATCTGCAATTGCGGATATCCATGGGCAGTAGTCGCTCCGCCATTTTGGCGGATTCTAGTGGCCACTTGCTCATTTGCCACCTTATGTTATAAAAAAAAAAGATGGATAGCTGGATGTTCGTAACTACTCTCCAAGACAGCTTAAAGGATCTTGATGAAATTTGGCACAGTTATAGAAATTAACCTGAGATTTTTTATCCAGTTAAAAACTAGTCACAGAAAAACGTCATTACCCAGCAGAACAGCTGTTTCTTAAAAATTAGACTTTGTATTAAATACACAAACATTTTAAAATGTTTACCTTCTCTCTACAGCGAGGGCAGTGTGTGTGATCGGATCTGGCACATGATAAACAAAATACATGCTTGCAAGGAATCTGAAAATCAAGACAAAATACAAGTTGATAACAAATATATCATGGTACAACTGAAATTCGGAGGATAGTCAGTCTAAAATATGTGTTTCTGTTCTGTGTGTAATACACTTTATTATTGTTCCTAATACAATATCTCAATATAATTATTAACTTACCATTCTGCCGTAGATAAGGATTGGTTTAGAGCAAGTATCGCAGCAATAAATCATAGGATTTAGAACTTTCTCCCCGATCAAAGTAGCTCTATGACTCCAATCCAAACGCAGCATAGGCTCAGGGGGTCCACGCTGTATTGTTGTGAATACTGGAGTCTCCAGTTGTGAAATGTCTGAGGGCACTTCCACTGTAAATTAGGCGAATAAAGTAAACAACTACAAAAAGGCTTATAAAGTGTGATAGATTATATTTTTATAGTACTTACGTTTTGGAGGTTCAGCCTGTTCATTATCATCTTTCGGCTCCTCTGTTGGGACTTCTTCAGGATCCTGAATGGTTTCTTCTACAGAACATTCCTCTTCATCAGAAGACATGACTTTGGCAACTTTTTTGCCACGCCCACGTCCCCTGCCACGGCCTCTTCCTCGGCCACGGCCACGGCCTCTTCCACGAGAATTTCTCTTTTCATTATTCATTTGTAAGTTTTTAGTTTACTATGATGTTATTAGTTGTTAACGTTGGCTGCTGGCGGCTTGAACCTTAGGATATATGTTTCTGATAAATCTGCAATATCAGTCCTAGAATACCTAATGATTAATTCATAAATGTCATAATTTGTCTAGTTAAAAGCAGTATTTCAATAATTCATTGGAAATTGGAAGTAAAATCTAATTAATCCGTCAAAAATATGGAGAATTCAATAATGATCGAGACAGATTAAAAAGTACAAAGATTGTAACTGTGAATACCAAAGAGCACAATAGCATCTTTAAAATAGCTAGCTGTAAATTAATCTGTGTTCGTTTTATGACATTTCGTTTTGTCGTTTTTTCTGTGGCATACACCAATAGATGGCGTAATTTCAAAATGTGAAAATAAGAATATTTTAAAGAAATTAAAAAAAATGTAATAATACTACAATAGTACTATTACGGCAGAACTTAATATTACACTGAATACCGGAGACAAATTAAAAGCTCTAACTAGGGAGGCTATCCATTTTCAAAGCAACCTAAAATATGCTTTCGGTTCTAATCTGAATAACAAACATTTTAGGTACGGCCTCATCAAACTTCTCATGGTACATTGCACTTGCATGCGTAGTATGTTAATATGAAGTAGGAAGATAAGTGATTACGATTATAAATTTTAAAGAAATACATCAACCTAATCTGCATGGTACTTTACGTTCATTTTTTTAAATAAATATTTGCCATGAAACTAAATGTATACGTGTCTGTATAAAAGCTATCGAATAAATTCCGTCTTTGCATTTAATATTAAAACATCAGCCATGTTGAATCCTGTAAAAAACTTGTTTACCCGATAAAGAGGAAAAAAACCGAAAATTTATGTTCACCATTATATAAGTCGGTGTTATTAAAATCAGGTATTAAGAGAGAAATGAGGAATAAAAAGTTTTTTATGCCGATCACGATGTATTTTTCAATGTAAATGTAAACGATAAGTTAATAAACATCTTAAAGGAATAAAGAAGTTACATGGAATAGGGGTCATTGACATTGACCTCACGAAACCGGGAAGAGAACTGAATTTACATTATACAAAATACATTATACAAAAAAAACATTATTCGTAAAACAATAGAGTTACGTAATATTTAAGATCAAGTTCATGTACACGTTTACTCTTTATTTTTCTATTATATTAAATTGTAATACCTAATGTGTCAATGTAATTGGTCACCCTAGTGCTGAGTGGTGTGTAATACAATAACATAAATTAGCGACTAAACAGGGCTGTTATGTAAGCGATGCAGTTGCAGGCCGGCGACTTGTAACGCGGTCACGGCCGGTTGACGATCTATAGGATGTACCTACCAGGGTGACCATGTTCTGCACATATAAGTACTACATACCTCTATCGACATATAGGACACACTAGTTCAGTCATAGGCGTAAAAGGATCTAGGATAGATTAAAAGAAGATTCAGTTTAACAGTTTATTTTATACTTTAAATTTAGATTTTTGCATTACTATCTTAAAATCTATATTTTCTTACATTCTTATATGTAGAAGGAAATAAATTTTACGTTTTATTATTATGACATTGAGAATTGTTGTAAATGGTAACCCTAAACTTGTTTACCATTTTCTTGCATTATAGGTGTCGTAAATATTTGAAAATGTTTATAGCTGCGGTTTCATGTCATAGTTATTTGTTGTCAATAAGCTAAACGATGATATTTTCGCATAAAAGTGTCGTTAAAGATTTTTTAATTTATTTAATAAATGTTACCGACAAAGTTATCACTACGTTTGTTTGTAAGAGATGGCGTTAGGGTAGGGCCAAAGTTAGGATATGGATAGGTGGGGCGACCGCCCAGGCCGTTTGACAAAAAGGGCCGTCAAAGGCCTGCAAATTAGACAAGTTTCACGTGTTATATGTTAATGTTCTCTTAAATATCTCTTGGAATTTTACAATAGTAGTAATAATAACATTTTCTATAACGTGCGCAGACTCAACTAACCGATAACGGGTCAGTACAGAAATAATTTTTGGCAAACGTATTTTACTTCCTTGAACCGCAGAATCTCACGATGACGCGTCTAGTTCAGTCGCCTTGAAAAATTTTGCGACGATATATTTTCGTTTTTAGATGTTTGTAGATTCGCGGTTTTTCCGGTAATTTTTCTTTTTTTATAGCCCGCGTATGTGATATTTTGATAAAATGCGCACGGCTAGTTTTTTTTTAAATAAACGTATTCTTTTTTTTATTTAATTGATCGTTTCCGACAAGGCTGATAGATTACCCATCTCAACTAGTAATAGGTGACTAAAAGGACTAAAATTATCTCGAGACGTCATTGATAAGCTAAATCCACGAAAGATTAATATATAGAGTGAGTTCATAGGATTAGATCACTGCAAAGACATTTAGGTGTACTTGACTTGAGATGTGGTCATGTTTATCAATGGGTTTCGCTACCAACCTACTTGCGATAGTTAACAGATATGGACGGAAGCTCTGACATTATTTGGATTGGATAATAATTCATAGAATCTTTGCTGAAATTTTGAAAGACTGCGTTTATGGAGTCCGCTAGTTAAATAATAAAACAATGTTCAAAGACAGATTATGTTATTTTCATAAAGGAGTATCTCATTATAATGTATCGGTTGGCACAAACAGTTCATTTGAATTTCGAATAGGTTCTTAGAAAAACCTATCGTATAGGGCTGGTGTGGCGCTGCCATCGCTGAGGCGAGGGGGCAGGCGAGTGCAGCGCCCTCCTTTCGCCTTCGACAGCTCGCGACGTATGCAGAGCCCTGAACCCAATGACCGCTCTAATGCGATGTAACAGATCGATTTAATAACTTTAACGATAGAGTTCCATGTGTTTAAACTCAGGCACTAAATCTAGTAGTTTTTATATTTCTAATACTTCATACCAATTAAAATAAAAATAATAATAATTACTCAGAAATTTGTAATCTAGGTCGTTAGGGTTTAGTTTAGTTTTAATATTAAAAAAGATAATCTTTGTCGTACTTATAAGCGACACAAAGAGAAATTGTAAAAAATAGAAATGAAGAAATCTAACTGCCATAAAGTAGTCTTAATAAATAGTCAACATTGTAAGAGTTTTCCAGGAACTAACTGCGGTACGTATCTGCTTGGCTCATAGACCCCGTTGTCAGGCGACACATGTATTCTAGTTACGTCGAACGTACAAGCATCTTGTAAATCTTGATGCTTGAATCGATTACACTAATAGCGGGTAAACCTTTGTCACAACAATTGTGCGATAGTTTATCGCACAATTGTTGTGCGATTGTCGATTCAACTGTTTAGTTGCACAACTGAAAATCAGTACTGTGTGTACCTCCATATATGCTCATAGGAATCGAAGCGAACTAAACAGTCAAAGATGTGCGCGCGATGTAACGGATGAATTGCTCGCCGTTGACGGACTTGTCGTGAAACACATTGATATCAAGTAAATTCTTCTATTTTTTAAGAATTAATTCTTGCTTTAAAGTGTTCAGTGGACCATATTTGATATTGTCAGCTATACTGCTGCGGAATTTATCACTGTTGAAGTTTTCAATGTAATTTAAGCTAGCTACACAGCTTCAAGTTAAAATTGAAGGTAACATAGTCATTTTGTTAATTTCTTTAACTAAAGGATTTTTATTGTTATTAATTACGACCAACATAATGTGTCCTTAGAGATTTATTACGGTGGTTTCCTTGTATTTTCAAAAAGTATCATAGTGGCACGGCCCGGGCGCGGCAGGCCAGGGGGCCACAGCCTTCTTTATCTTGGCAAGTAGGTTGCGCACCGGCACCGCAGAGATTAATTCAGAGCTCGCATGCAACAGATAATAAAGAGAAAACTACTACGGACTACTTACAGACTAATTGTCTTCCTTTCATACAAAACTAGCTTAGAGTGCTTTTAAATAAAAGTTTTAGTAGCTGTAACTAGGTGTTTAAAATACTTTACACATTTGGGACGACAGAAAACTTAATAGTTTAATAGTCACATAATTAGGTGATACAATCGACAAATAATATTTGTTACAAATGTTACTTTTTCGAAGAAAATTACAATGAAAATTAATGATTAAAAACGGTAAATAATGAAATCATTTGAATACTTTGACAGTAGATAACCTACTTAAAGAACAAATAAAAGCGTTATTGTTTATGAGAAATTATGTAACGGCAGCGGTACTAAGCACAATGGCTACGTTTTGCTGCGGACATTCCTGAACAAACCGCACCTGTTTAATTTTACTAAATAGATTGTCTTGTGGGCGTAACAATGTGTAACCGGTGTGAACCGGTTTGTGCGAGGTCATCTCGATAAAGGCACAATACAATCATTGCGAGGGATTATTGAGCCCGCGTTTGCCCGCGATGATTCGCCTCGATATGCGACCAATAACCGTGGAATCGGAATATTTGCATATGTGTAGGTTTAAAAATAATGTAAACATTACTATTAAAAAAAATGTCACCTGCAAATCAGTTACTATTTGTCTAAGCAAATTATTAGGCTAGGCTAGGCTGGGTTTTTAATTGCTTCCCCTAGAATTGAAGTCGAGAGCCTCGGCACCATTACTCTATCATGTATCTTAGATTTGATCAAACATTGGACGAAATAGTTGGCTAATGGTGATAGTTTAAATCAGTCCTAGTAAAGTGGTGCTTTTTAATTTCTAAGACAACTGAGCGACCTTTGAATCTGGGACAGTAACCTATTCCCTTCGTTTGTAATGCAAAGCGGTCGCGACATGCAAACATGGTTATTTACTTTATGCAACTAATGCAACGGTTCTATCTTTCTGTCATACATAACAAGTTTGTGGAAAAATTATTGTGACATTTAAATAAACAAAATATCTAAATTATACTAGTGAAGAAGCTGAATCACTTTCTTATTTTTATAATCATGCATTTAAATTCATTATCACTAAAAAACATAAAAACCTCTGTTAAGTACTAATTTTTGTAGTATTGGAGATTAAAGGACCCTTGTAGTCGCACTTGAGGAGGCCGAGGGGTTTAAGTGTATACATTTCTCACATAACCCTGCTGTCTTTCCCAAAAGGCAGGTTATTTTTCGAAAATTCCACCCTGAAAAAGGTACTAATTTGAAAGTTTAACTCGTAGATATTAATTCTGATGCAAGAGAATGATAGGATTGCATCAGATATTGCGAATTGTGA